TCCTCTCGGCCATTATTACTTAGTTCTTTGGGCATGTTCTCTGACTTCTGTAAGCCTCTGATCCCTCACATATAAAATGAGAATAGAGTATTGGTGAGATTACACATGTAAAACATTTAGCAGTAATTATATCTATGAAAAACCTAGCTTCAATAATTTTTAAAAAATACAAACTGCACTGCATTGTACTGTTTCCTACCCCACCTCCATCACAGGCATGTTCTAATTTTTTTTTTTTTTATTCCGTTCCATTTTCTAAAATTACTTTCTATGTCTAGAAGGCATTAGTGCTTGTGGTAGTTAAGTATGTGTGTCAACTTGGCTGAACCTGGTTGAGTGGCTGGGCAGCCGGATGTAGTTATGCCCCGTGGTAAGATTGGTAATTAACTCCATGGTGGAATCTACTGGAGCAGCTGAGTAGCTGCTTTAAGGATGTGGCTGCTTCCAGTGTATAAGAAGCAACTTTGAGGAAGGTCTCCAGCCTATGGCATGCTTGAACCCTGCATATAGCTGAGTCATTGTTCGGCAGCCTGCCATGTTGTCCTACCAATCTTGGGACTTTTTCAGGACTTGAATCAATGGCTTGCCGTGTGGTTTGGTACTATCAGGACTGTGTCATTTTATTTGTCAACCTTGGTGTCAGCCCCAGCAGCCAGCAGCTGCCTGAGTGAAGAAAAGCCTCCAGCTTCAGTGGGCCGGGAGCAGGAGGCAGAGCTGAAGCCCAAGGTCGAGGGGATTTCACCCAGCCCCTAGTGCCTGGCACTTGGAACTCAAGACTTCTAGCCTCCAAAATTTTAAGAGAATAAACTTCTGCTTGTTCAAGCCATCCTATTTGTGGTATATTCCTGTCAGAGTGGCACTAGGTAACCAAAACTGCTCTATAACACATTTTAAAAGAGTCTCTACAAATCCATTAACATTTAAAACAAATTCCAATTACAGAAATCTCACCCCCCAGGAAAGCTGAAGTACAGCAGAGCTCAGCCTCTCACATCTGAACACTGGCAAAGGCAAGGACCCTTCCAATTGCCATTGCCAGGGAAGCCAACTCAGGTCTGAGGCCATCAATTACTGAATAAACATTTATTGATGTAACTTGAAAACTATGACATGAGATTGAGGGGAAGATAGGAGATGCAAAGAAAATGAAAATTAATTGTTGCTCTCAACAAATTCACCATCCTTAAGAAAGACAGTACATATGTAATAAAAATAGAAACATATTATGTTTATAATAGAGCTGTGCAAAATGGAACACAGAATAGGAACTAACTCTGCCTTTAAGAGGGAGTAGAAAACTTCAAAGAGAATATCTGAGTTGAATATTGAAGTAAAAACACAAGTACGTCACGTGGAAAGGAAGAGGAAGGGCATCCTAGGCAGAATAAACTGTGCACAGAATAAAGACTTGTTTTTTTTAACCCCTTGCAAAGGATGGGGTGGTGGTGGTAGTGGTGCACGGATGGAGTGTGGTGGTAGTGGTGCATGGAATAGCAATAGATGAGACTAGTAAAGGCAGCATGGGGGGTCACACTTGGTGGAATATGAATGCTATACTAAGAAACTTGTTTTTTATCCTGAGATGAAGAATTTTAAAAGGAAATGTGTGTTTAAAATGAATTTGAATGCAATAGAAAATGCCAGAGATTATCTGACACCATATGCGGAAAATTTTATAAAAATTTATGTCTGGTATCTGTGTGTGTACTAGGTCACAAAGTAAAATACATTCGTTACTACTGCTCATAGTCAGAAAAATCCAATACACAATGAGGAAGGTGACTGGTGACTGACCAGATGCAAGAGTTGAGAGAAAAGTCAAGGATGACTCCCAGGTTTCCGGTGTAATCACCTGAGTGGATCACAATACCACTGACCAAGACAGGAAAGAGAGGAGGAGGCCTGCTTTTATCAAGTCCACATAAGGATGCTGGACAGACCAGACAGCGACCTCTCAGCAGTTTTCAGCAGCGACAGTCAATACTCATTTTGTTCAGAAAAGACAAAGAACACAGTCATTGCAGCTGCAAGCTCATGTGAATACACAACTGATAAGGCTCTCTAGGAACTGGATGGAAGGGTCCCAGAGAATATGGTCTAAACATTACTTAATCTCAATCAAGGTGCCCTGGTTGTACAGTGGTTAAATGCTTGGATGCTAAGCAAAAGGTTGGTGGTTCAAATCTACCAGATGCTCTGTGGGAGAAAGATGTGGCAGTCTGCTTCCATAAAGATTCTTAGTCCATTGGGTAGTTAGTTCTACTCTCTCCTGTTAGGTTGCTGTGATATGAGTCAGAATTAACTTGACAGCAATGGGAGTTTTGTTTTGGAGGTTTTTTTCTTTTTTTAATCTCAATTAATAGAAAAACTTTGGAACCAGAGATGGCAGACAGGGTAAGAGAAACATCAACACTTCTTCCTCCAGGGAACTAACAGGATGTGAGAGACTCTGTCCCTACTCTAAGAGGCAACAGGGAGCCATCACCTTTGGTAACCCAAGCAAACTCTCTGTAAAGCCTGCCACCAGGCTGTTTTTCTTTAATGGAGAGGGAGGGCTGTTTCTAGTTTTATAACTGTTTTGTAAGCCTTCCCCCTCCCTCACACCCCACCTACAGGAGATATTTCAATACCTCTGTCTTTAGTAAGGCTGTTGGGTCCTCTAATACTAGATTGGGTTATTCCTTGGTGGCTCTTCTGGAGCTTCAGGCTAAGAGATCAGGGCTAGAAGAACAGCTTCTTCACAGACTTGGGGTGGACCCATTATTCCTCCTCAGTCCTCTATGCCTCAGAGGAGAGAGTTCTCTAATTCTTTTTAGAGGATCACAGCAAAACCATGTCCCACAGTACTTTTCTGGTGACTTTTCCCACTACATTTCTCCACAAACCTGCCCCACGCACTTCAGACAACTGACTGCCCTCAAACACTCCATGTTCTTGTGCATGCTCTTTTACTCTTGCTGGTCCCTTAGTCTAACATGCCCTCCATTTCTCTGACAGAAATTCTACATAACCTTCACAGTGCATCTCAAATACCGCCTCTACCACAGAACCACCCTTTATTCAACAGCCCCCTGCTCCAAATTTTGATTTAGTCACACCTCCTGTATTTCCACAGCATCTGCTTATGCCTGGGGCACAGTACTTTGCTCATTCCGTTATCCATTAAGTTACGTTATCCTCTAAGCTATGTTTCTTGAAGGTGAAGACTATGTCCTGTTCTTCTCTCCAAAGTCCCCTAATCCTTAATACACACAGGTCCTCAGTAAGAGTTTGCTGACTCAAACGAAAAGCTATTCCATCAAAGCCTATAGATCTTCAGAACTAAGGGAGGGGAAAAAGGTACAGGGGAGACCAAGTGAAGATTTAGGCATACAGCCTCTCTCTTCCTACTAAACTGGTGGCGGTAACCCCATTCTGAGAAATTAAACCAACCTCAGCAAGAAGAACTCAGTAGGCCCGGTTTGGAAATGGTGGCTAACTTAAAGAACTATAAGTAGTCTCAAGGTTCTCCCAGCTGCTATTAGTCAAGTATTGACCTTGGGATGTGGTCACAGGGATTATGTATTTTATTTTGCTATCCACTCCCTCTAACACTCTAATACCTGTAGGTATATGGGCAATAAAGAGTCTTTCATACAGGCACTGAATATTATCTTTCAACTCCTCTGGGAACAGCCTAATCCTCCTTTCAACCCTCCAACCTTGCCAGTGAATAATTCCACAGTGCCACCTCGGCAGTCCTCCCCTCTTGAAAAAGTGGCTTTCCCCTCAATCTATCCAGCTTCCCTCCTTGGCCCTCCTCCGTAACCTTCTCCACTAGGAAAAATAGATGGCAGTTTGCATTCCCAGCTGCCTGACTGAAAGACATGGTACATTTCAAAGAACTAACACGTAGAACTAATAAGAGTTGATAGTTGTGGCTTCCTCCATGATCCCGTAAGTACTATTTACTCACATTTATTATACAATTTAGCCATCCGGATTTCTAATTGACTATTTTACTCATCTGATCTCCCTCACAAGACTATGAACTTCTTGAGATCTATCCCTCGTTCCCAGCAATGTGCCACGGACATAGTGTGCACTCAATAAACTGCCAGCTTAGAAAAAAAGAGCAGAAAATCAACCACCATCTTAGGCCCTTTAGTCAATCTCCATGACTATGTGAGTTCAGTGGAAGAAACACTTTCAGAGGTGATCAAAACCAAAAAGTCTTTATATAGTATTCAGTCCTGTGATGCAAAGGCTCAGCTGAAGGCAGTCTCAAACAAGGGTCCTTTTGAGAAGCCAGCCATTCCCGCACGTTCCTCAGATACTCACTATGGTCAAAGCAGTAAACTTAGTTCTTCAGAATTTACTTTCCCAAGACCTGGCAATTCAATAAATACATTCCCCAGCCCCCACTTCAACGTCTCTTCTATATCCTTCTGACCTTTAATAGTGTGTAACATCAGGTGAAAAATTGATTTTTTTTGGCTACTTATTTTGCAGCTGAAGAAAAAATATACTGTTTAAGGTGTTAAATATTTTTACATGCAACAAACCTAGCATGAATCTAACCTGTATGCACATTTTAGAGGTACAGGCGTAAATGTCAGTGCTATAATTTGTTATAGGTTTCTGATGACCAGCAACGAAAATGACCACAGATTCTCACAATTCAAACCACTTTTACGTAAATGTGAACTTTCCTAAAACACCCAAAGGAGAGAACTTTCCATGCAAGTTCATAGAGTCTCTTGGAGATACTGATAGCATTGTTCACTGAATTAGGTGTTCTTTGAGAAAATCCTACAAATATTAGTTTTTTTCTGAGTCTATGCTCTGACCTTTATAAAAATGTGCTTTAAGACACCAGTTATTAAAATGAAAGAAATAGTTTTAATGCCTGAACAAATGCCATTTCATGTAATCAGCCCTGCTGAAGGCTATACCTTACAAGTCAGCAGTATTTGAAAAAGAATACATTTGGTGACTTCACTTAAATCGCTCACACTTACCAGACATGAAGAAGGGTTATAAGAAACCATGAATTGAATGTATCAGGAATCTGACACCCTAGAAAAATAACAATAAGGTATAAATATGTGAGGGCTCAGAAGAAGTATTTTAACTATATGTCAAATATTGGTAGGAATTTGTTCAATTGAAGTATGTAACAGACACAGTACTCTCTGATTATGCTATCTATCACACAGGGACAGTGGAACCAAAGGGTAAGACCACAGGCTGAAAGAACATTGAATGTAGCCAGACAACTAGCCAGGTAGTTACGACCTTGCTGCATGATGTTGGACAAATCACTTCTCCATGAGCCATGGTTTTCTCAACTTGTTTAATATGGCCTAGATGATTTCTATGGTTCCTTCCAACTTCCTTGTGATTCCGTACCTTCCTTTCCTGATCTTGAATTGTCATGAAAAGCTAGGAAGATACTATCTCATCTACCCCACTTAAGTACAGACTTGTTCACTTGACCTTCTACGGAAGTAGTTTGCCCAATCTTCCTTCAGAGAACTGGCTGGTGGGTTTGAACTGCCAGCCTTCTGGTTAGCAGTCAAATGCCTCAGGCACTATGCCACCAGAGCTCCCTAGGAATGACAAAACTAGGGAGGACTTCTGTTTTAGATCCCCTGAATCAGGTCAGTGCTTGGACATCAACCCTCTTAATTCTCAGATCTCCAAGAAAGAACTCTGGATGAGAGGCCCACTTTGTTACATGAGAGGAGGAGAGCTGGAGCAAAAGAATGGAGGAAAATGAGAATTAATGAGAAATGTAGGCTTTTAATGCAGAATATGACCTTTGGAGCAATCACTTAGGAAAGAAGTGATATCTTCTGTCTTTCAGCAATCAGTGAAGTACACAGTATAAGAGTGCAAATACAACACAAAGTGACAGCAAATAGGGGTCACTAGGAGATAAAAACACAGGGAAAAACCTCTGTAATGTACACTAAAACCAGAAAATCGAAATGAGTTACCACTGGGTCAATTCTGACTCATAGTGACCTCATCTGTGTCAGAACTGTGCCCCCAGGTTTTCACGGCCGTGATCTTTCAGAAACAGGCCTTTCTTCTGAGGCACCTCTAGGTGGTTTTGAACTGCCAACCTTTCTTCAACCATTTGTACCACCAGGGACTCCTAACGTATAAGAACAACACCAATAACAATAAAGAACATACTCCGTTGTGGGCTCACCATGTGCCAGGCATTATATAATTGGTGCTTTGCATGTATTAGCTCAAGGAATCCTACCAACAACCTTTTAAGGTGGGTATTAATATACTCCACTTTGCAGGTGAGAAAATTGACTTTTAGAGACATCAGGACAACTGCTCAAGGTCACAGAGCTATGGAATGAAACAACTGGGATCAAATTCAGATGTGCTTCATTCCAGATACCATGTTCTTAATCACAACTCTGCCTCTATAATATCAGAAACTAACATTCACTAAGGGCCCACACGGGATGCCAGGTCTGCTGCTAGTCATGGTAATATTTTATCTCAGTTAATCCTCACTTTAACCCAGGTAGTAGGCATTATAATTGCCACTCTACAGATGAGGAAACAGGCTCAAAAAGGCTAAGTAACTTGCCTGCGGTCACATTAACAAACTAGTAGCAGATCTGAGGTTTGAATCCAGGTCTGTCACAAACTGACACCAAAATACTCTGCTGAGCTTACTGGGTGGTGCCCAATAGCTGTCAAGTGGACTTCCTCTCAGAGCCCAGCAGGAGGGAAGTGAAGGCTGGCCTGGCCAGCTGTACCGCTATTAAGACTCATGCCATCTGAGAGTGGGCCAACCACCCTCCACCTAGAACGAGAATAGCCATGAGAAACTCTCAAGCCCGGATACTAAAGTTGGGTCTTTTTTGGATGCTAGAATAAAACATTAAAAAGAAAAGTTTTCTTGGAAGTCTGTCTTTCAATTTGGAAAATGAAATTTGGCTGCTTCTAAAGGACAATCTGTTCAATTGCTACCTCTACATCAAAGCTTCTCAGCAGCCTCCAGGAGCCTTTCCAACTTTCTCAGAGAGGGAATCAGTTCTTGGGCTGGAAAGCATAGACAGACAGGCCAGCAGCTGGACCTGGGTCACAATTTTCCCTTCTGGGGGTCGGCTCCGGGCTGAGGATGGGAAAAGAACTAGCATATGATTAAATCCTTGCACCCAATAGGATCAGAAGAGAAACTCACAGCGTTGTTGTATGCTGTTGATTCTGACTCATAGTGACCCTACAAAACAGAGTAAGACTGCCTTATGGGTTTCTAGGCTCTAATCTTTAAGGAAGCAGACTGCCACATCTTTCTCCTATGGAGCAGCTCATGGTTTCGAACTACCAACCTTTCAGTAAGCAGCCAAGTGCTTAACCATTGCACCACCAGGGCTCCTTACCCACAGGGTAAATAAAGCCTTAAAAATAAGACCACTGAATGTTGACTTTGAGCAACACAAAAATACAGCAGATTATTCAGATCAATAAAATGCGTTCAAACACTTCAAAGTTAAAACCTGCTATAGCATCTTTTGTCATGATCACACCCTTGCTCTAATGAACACTCAATGCAGGACATTATTTTCTGATGCTAGGCACTCTGTTTTGTGACACCAAGTTTGCAAGGCCTTATTTAACACAGTTTCATAATGCAGGATTTGGTGTCACACTGACTGATTCAAAACCTTGACTCTGCCTCTTTACCTGCTATGTGACTCTGGGTAAAGTTACTTATTAGCCTCTCCAACCAATCAGCCAACCCACTGTCACTGAATTGATTCTGACTCACAGCGACCCTAGAGGACTGCCCCATAGGATTTCCAGCGCTGTAAATCTTTACAAAAGCAGACTGTCTCATCTTTCTCCTATGGAAGGCTGGTGGGTTCAAACTGCTGACCTTTTGGTTAGCAGCCAAATGCCTTAACCACTGCTCTGCCAGAGCGCCTACTTAGCCTCTCGTTACCTCAGTTTTCTTCTCTGCAAAAATGAGGATAACAAAGAAAAACAACTTTATAGGGTTTCTGCGAAGATTAAATGAGATAAGGCCTGTAAAATGTTTAGTACAATGGTTAGTATTTAATAGGTACTCAATAAATATTTAATAAACATTGGAGTCACTGGCTGATGCAAATGGTTAACATGCTGGGCTGCTAATCAGATTCGAGGTTCGATCAAGTTCACCCAGAAGAGCCTCAGAAGAAAGGTCTAAAATCCTCAAGAGCACAGTTCTACTTATACACATGGGCTCACCATGCATTGAAATCTACTTGACGACAGAGGTTTGTTTGTTCCCAATAAATGTTCGCTATGTTTTTCAGTAGGAGCTCTGGTAGCATAGTGGCTAAAGCACTTGACCGCTAACCAGAAGGCTGGCGGTTCAAACCCACCAGCCACTCCTCGGAAGGAAGGTTGGGCAATCCTACTTCTGTAGTGATACTGCCTCGGAAACCCAAGGAGGGGTCGCTATGAGTTGGGGCCGACTCGACGGCACATAACAACAACAACAACATGTTTTTCAGTGAATTATTTAAATGTGAGGGTTTAAATTATCCTTTAAAAAACTCACTATTTTTTTTAAGACTATGTTAATAAAGTGAACATTTCCCCTCTAACTACTGACCCAGAAGTTATTTACTAAGGAGCCTCACTCCAAGTTAATCAGCCTTTTAGAGGCTAAAGATTATACAATCCACAGAAAACAATGTGGAATTAAACACAAGCTTTATTTATCTGCCATCTTTGCTCAAAAATGTTCTTCCTAGCAGAAATGAACTCCAAAAGACCAGTCAGCAAAGTACTGCATCTCACAGACGGCACATTCCTTTATGCTGCAAATGACATCATTGGAAGAGCTTGGAAACAACACTGGGTCATAAGGCATCTCGCCAGTCAAAATCCCCAACATCTAGCTTTCTGGGTCTTAGACTTGAATGCTTTGGCTCTGAGATGAAGAGAGTCTATAACTTTGCTGTCTTTTGGAGGCTTGCCTAAGATGTGGACAGACTTTATGTTTGTCAAAGCTCCTCTGTGAGTCAACTTATTCTTATACAATCTTCATAAAGGAGGCAAAAGGTTAACCATGACCAGCAAGCTACCTGAAGCTCTCTCTTTATCCTTTTAGAAAATTACTCAACTTCCAAAGACTATAAAAGTCAAGCTCTAAAATACCAAAATTCCAAGTAAGCAATGGCCACTTTAAAGGTGTAATTCTGGGAAGAAATACATATATTCTCTCTCTTACTCCAAACCTGGCTGGTCCTTCTTTAGAATTCAAGCCACAGAAAAGTCAGTCTCATTGGTTAATAGTCCTTATCTACTGCCTCCAGATTGATTTCCTTTTTATTCACTAGCCACAATTTGGAACTACTCTGTTGATTTTAAAATTTAATCCACTCACAAATGACAAAGATAGGCCACAATGGAGCATAATACAAATGAATGTGCTATTGGTCTTAAAAGGCAAGTCTCAAATTGAGTTTTATAAAACCTGAAGAGTGTGGCCAATGGTCATAGGGGATATCAAGCTCAAATGGCATAACATATTACACAAAAACATTGTTATATATCCTACTTTGGTGAGTACTGACTGGAGTCTTAAAAACTCGCAAGGAGCCATCTAGATGCAACAATGAGTCTCCCCTCATCCAGAGCAAAGAAGAATGAAGAAAACCAAAGATGCATGGAAACAATTAGTCCAAAGGACTAGGAGGCCATACGATCCTCAGCCTATGTGACCATGAGACCAGAACTAGATGGTATCTGGCTACAAATGTCAACCACTTAGAAAGACATCAGTGTAGGATATCCTTGATAAAGTAGGACTACAATGTGGAATAAAACTCAAACTCATAAAAAAAAAAAAAAAAAAAAAAAAAGACCAGATTTACTCATCTGATGGAGGCTGGTGAGACCCCTGAGACCCAGTTACTCTTCAGGTCTGGAAATGAAATCCGCTCCATGGCTTCCAGCAAAACAATAAACAGGTATATAGGGTGAACATTTACATCAGCTAGATATACTCCTTAGAATGATCAATCATGGGAGAACAGAAGGGCCGTATT